AGAGGTTGCCGCCCCCCACCTGGCTGCCATAACTGCTTTGGCTTAGCCTTTAAAGGCTGAGCCCGCTTTCAAGAATAATGAGTTATGGAGCTCATATAATACGTGATCCAGTAGTGAAGAAAAAAGCAGAAAAAAATCATGGAAAATGCCCTATATAGAACCCTATGCTGGCCAGGTGGGCGGGGCGGCCGACTCTTCACTAGCGAACGGCGCTATCCTCTCGCCTTTTTGAGATGCAAAACTAGTACATACTGCATCCTCATAGGGAGGGCTATGATATCCAGAGAGGGCGCGGGAACATCAAATGAACGTGGGCGCTGCCTTTAAACGAGCCGCGAAAGAAATTTTTTCGGTTGCTGACCTTTCGTGGTTTACCCTCTGTACTTCCCAGCAGTCCTGGACAAATACTATTTTCGATAGTAGAAATGAGTAGCTGTTTGGTAACGTGCGCCGCCCCCACCCCATCTTCCGTGAGGCGGCGCTTCTTTCGGGGAAAAAACTGGGAGATTGGAATGAAAATGGAATGCGTGTAGACCTCCAGTACCACGTCAAAGGCAATGTGATGGCATAGAAGAGAGCGTAACCACGGGGAAAGGGTGTTTGGAAAGCTGGGAAAATGGTAGGAAATCAGGAAGATGGTAGGTCGGATGGGGGAAGGGAGAGCTTGTGGGGAAAGGGTCGTTTTTCTGATCACGACGCCGCACTCTGCGCCCTTCCGCCTGCCGCGTAAGCAGCCAGTCATAGTTTAGTGGGTGTGGCGGCAAATGTCGCTGTGATGCTGCTTTAGATAAATTTGAAGTGTTCTTCGATGGTGAAGCTGCCAGTTTTTCTGAGAAACTAATCGATACCGAACTTTACACAAACTAAAGTAAGAGAACCCTGACCTCAACTGTACAGTGACTGCTTTAACCGAAATGACTCCACTGTGCATATACTTCGAAAGTAGGAAAAGGTAGGCGCTGTTCGGCTTGGGAGGGGTATTTTGCCCTTTCATCAGTCTTTCTTGTTACTTCACATAAACTAACAAGTCTCATCACGGTAACTGACAGCTTTCATTCCGGTGAGACCTGTATACTCCTGTGAAGCTGCAAGCTAGTGGGAGTGAGCCACTGGTCACAGGAATTTACAAGTCTACACAAGTTGGCCTGTCCAATGCTTAGCTGATAACTATGTGGTGTCCCAGCAAAAACGGTATGGACGCTGGGAAAAAGAAAAAATAAAGGGAAAGGATACCTTGGCAGCTTCCATCCGAATGTGAACTCTGTTAGTCGTGGACGGGTTGGAATCGTGGTAGGGATTCGATGATATGACGGTAGCCACTGGCAGACATGACGACCTTCGGTACAGAGATCCTAGAAGGAATGGGGCTATTACAATAAGCCGTGATTATTCTGCGCCAGGCATGGTCTTCATAGACAAGATTCTGAGTATATTAGTCGTCTTACATCAGTTGTCATACCAACCGGGTTGACCTGTTGGGTTTGCTGCTGGGTTTGGGGTGGTTGACGAGGATCGGGTCTGGAGCTTTCGCCATGTGGAGCACTGCCGATTGAATGGATGTAGTTGCGAGAGCCGTAGCTGGAAAAGCGTAACCATAACTCAGAGTTTATCCCTAATTTTGTAGTCTCATCAAGGTACTCACCGTACAATACCGTCCTCAGCATGGTAATTAACGTGTGTACGTTTCACATGAAGCATTACAGCTTGTTCTTTGTCGAACTGAAAATGATAAGTGCAGAGTGATTGTTAAGGACTACTGTATTTACAGTACTACTGCTTTGGGAAGTTTAAACTTTAAGTTGATTCCTGGGCGGATGGAGAATTAGAGTTAAGCATCTGCCGCAGAAAAATGCCATGACCAAGCAAGGGGTCGGAAATTGCGGCAGGAGCGCAAATACCCTAACGCAGGCATGTGAGACTCCGCCCATAAAAACGATCAGCCCGCCCACTTGGAGTGATTCCAACGATATGTCACAACTCTTACCGTTCGATGAGGACATTCCTCATACTGAATTTGCTGATCGATAGTCATTCGCATTGTTTTTGGCTGACCATGCTCTTTCACTTGAATATCCAAGCCAGTATATGAACGAATAAGTCCTGAAAAAGGAATATTTTAGAGACATTGATTCTATTAGCAATCAATATATCGATCGTTTACCCGGCCTTTCACGGCGATATTCCTCCTCATAATCCGGGAATGCTATTTCAGTGCCTGGTGGAATGTCTGGCAACGTTCCAGAAACGAAGACCTGTAGTGTTTTTGGCTTTTAGAGGAGTCAATAATTGTCTAGTTTTACAGCTGTTCCTAATTTTTCTGGGTTCAAAGGCAAAGGGTGCATAGACTAGAGGAGGGGAGGCCGCACCCGCGTCATTGGTGGGAGAGACTTGGGTCAAACCTTTCCACCAATAACAACGACGCTGGCGACCTGCCCCTGCCCTATCCTACGATCCCACTGGCTTTGAACTGATCCATCTGCAATGCATGAAGCCGTGTCTAGTGGAATACCGCACAACTCGGAAATCAGAATAAAAAGGAAAAGTTTTTGAGAAAATAACCATAGTAGCTACTACCAGGTTCTTACCGTGACCTTTAGATAATGATAGACGTCCTTGCCGGTGTATTGCTGACGAATTGACACATGGTACGGTCACCGATAGATTGACACATGGTAACGGTCACCAATATGAAGGGTCACGGTACGGTTGAGATGACTACCAGTCACTTGGAAACCATTATATGCGGTTGGCGATTGCACCTAGACAAACGATAATGGAATTCGGAGGCGTGTTCCGCGATGGCCGGATGGGCGGAGACAACTGTTTATGCTTTTTTTAATGGGTGCATCTTCTGGCGAAGAAGGAAGAAGAACAATGGAACAAGATGTCGACCGCCTTCTATTATCGCGAACATGCCCCCAAATCAAAATTTCGGTAGTCAATTGACAACTTTCAGTTTTTAAAAACTCACTCCGCGAAAAGCCATCCCATGATGGAACCGATAGGATTCAGCAGAAGGAACTGATGCCCAAGGTCCGACGGGATCTTCGACAACGCTGTGTAAGCATGGCCGTCTGAGGCAGTGACCAGTGTGTGCAGATCAACTTGACCGATGGAGACTCCATTGATCACACCTTCAAGTGAGCCCGAAATCCTCTGTGGATCTCCTGAAATCAGAAAGAAAAACTTGGACACCGCGAAAAAGGCACTGTGAAATGAGAAAGTATTTGTCGGAACCCAGTTGTGCACAGCGTTTAAAAGAAGGCTTCAGGATGATCATTGTTTGAAGTGGTACGGATTGGATCGCAGCCAGGGCGGCCCATTCCACACATAATGCCATCCTAAGCCCGCTACGACTGGTGGAAAAGGCGGTCATTGACTGCGCTCCAATCCACACTCCCTCACACGCCCTCTCAATTGCAAGAAAGCTGACCATGTATCCTATATCATAAAAACTCCAGCAATATGCTAATCCGAACGAGTTGCCGGCCGTGCAATAGTTGTTGCATGGCCTGCGATAGATCGTTAGCGGCAACATGACTAAAGACTGCCCCTTGTAAAATGGGAGCACATCCCATAAAATTAAAGACACTGGATTACGAAAACCATTTCCACAATGCCAAGGCACTTTGAGGGCAGTCATGAGCTTGCACCAGAAAGGCAAAAGGGCAACCATAAGTTCGTTCCAAAAGAATATCTGTCTAAAGGTATACCTTTCTTGACGCAATCCTTTCCATTACCCAAATATCCTGGTCGACATTCACAGCAGAATCCACCAGTGTAGTCTCTAGAACAAAAGGCAAACATGAAAAGAATAATCGTGAATGACGCTGTAAATATGGAAAATCAACATATTTTATTGTTAATAATGTGGACTTCCAACTCCGCCCACAAGGTCAGCGCGAACTGGCTTCTGGTTGGCTACTAAAAAGTGAGGGCAGCTT